CAGAAACAACAGGCCAGTCCACATAGTGTGAGCGCTGGAGCGGAGCTGAAAGAATGTCACTTGGGTCACAGGGATTTTGATGGATGAGCTTTGTTACTGGCTTTGTGTGACCCCACCTTTCAGCCCCTCTCAGCTTCAACGACACAAGAACACACAAAAACACACCAGGGAGCATACAGTATGTGTGTGCCTATGTATGCCCAGGGACATAGACAAAACACACACTTCTATCCACATGGTGCCCACTTGGTCACATCATAAAGTAAAGTAGGAATTTCATGACATGCATGGCACTGGCAGCCTTTTTCACATCATCAGCTGAGACACAAGCAGAAAATCTTCCCGAAACCTGGCCCTCTTTACTGTTGCCTTGTGGGCATGACGCTTCAGTAAGTGGGTTATGGGCTAAGCACCTGTGCTTGACATACTGTGCTTGCACATCACATTCATGACTTGCTTTGACACAAAATGTGCAATAAACCTTTGTGATCATGCCCGAATTGCTGGTCCGAACACATCTGGCACTAATATACTGCAAGTCTTGGGAGATGCGATCACAAGTAGAACCCTGCAGGTGGTAATATATCCCAGRTGCTCAGAGGATTGCTTTGAGATCAGTCAGGACACCCTCTGAGGTGATCCGAGCAGCATATGGCCAGGCTCTTCAGGCTCTGTGCATGAGCTGCAACCGGGGCCTGAAGGACCACCTGCTCAACTGAAATCCTTTGCATAATGTTTACAGTTAATTTAGATCATATCAGTTCTGGGAGGTGCCTTGTTGCCTACAGTCTACAAAAKTAATGCATTTGATTTTCTAAACAGATATAATTTACATGTTTAGYATGGTATAAAATGAAGTAAGATCCAATCACAGTTGGTCACTCAAAACACATCTGGAGATGGGAACTAGTGAGCTGACCTACTTAGAGCTTTCCACTTTTGATAAAATCCCCTATTTTTTATAGCAGGTGTATATTTAGCCTCTGATTTTCACTCACAGTTGAACAACAGCACAAAAACGTTACTTATTTCATTTACACTGAGTGGACTATTCTGATGCATCTTTGTTGTTTTTAAACTTTAAAAAGTAAACTGCAGAGAAAATAATACATGAGATAACTGCATATCAAAACTGAAACCTGCTTCCATGAATGGAGTCATGAAGAAAACTGGAAATCTGAAAGGTTTCTCTGAGTTTACAGATTCCCTCAAATCCCACAAGGGTTTGAGGTGCACCAATAAGTTACTTTTTAAAAATTGCAGTTAAGTAAAAAAAAAAACAAAAAACAAAGCGCTGCAACACAAGCAAATAAATAAAATAATAAAATAAAAAAGGTGAGTAGAAACACACAGCGGCTGCAGATTTTACAATAATTAACAAACAGCACCTTAGCAAGACCAGTGCAGTTCAAGTATTGTTTTGTAAAACTAATTAATCATGACTTTGGTGAGCAGCCAGCAGAGAGGGAGGACAGCCTCCTTCTGTCTTAAACTCCACAACATTGCTCCAGAGTCAACCCACATCCAGGGTTAATGCAATTACCAGCATGTCCTCCCAACCATGGATCCACCATCACACCACAGGCACTGTAATTGGTGTGCCCAGAATTGCAGACAAAAATTAGAAAAGCAGCTGAGGGAAAGAGGTGATTAATTTTGCTAGAAGAGGGAGTTGGTGACTATGTAAATCACTGCCTGTCAGTGCAATTTAATTTCCCTATTCTGTTGTCCTTGTCTGCAGTGCAAGTCTTGCTCGCTGATTGGTGAGCGTCAGGTCATAGCCAACGAGTCTGTGAAGTGAAGGGCAAAGGACATGCACTGTTTAATTACAAAACAGGACTACAACTCTCCCTATAGGGCTCGTTTCATGTGTGTTCTGTACGTCTGCAGACAAATCAGCTGGGTCTTTCTGAACTGTCCTTTTTGTTGACTTTGTAGAGGTCACAATAAACAACATCAAAATACTGACCACAATCTATAATCCAATCCTTTAAGCCCTGTTTTATTAGCCTCCTCAGCAGCACAGACAACAGAGGTGCTGCTCCTCTTTGTTGCTAAATAATACCCATTCAGCAAGGTTTAGCCACAGGGGTCAAGCATACAAAGCGGACTATTCCTAGGGAGCAATTAGCTTTCAGTCACCCCAGTGTAAGGTCAAATCTCCTCTGTCTCCTATGACACTGCTGCTGATCACACCTTGGCAACCACCTTCTGCCAGTCGGGCTGGCATCACATGGTTTTGCACTAATCATAAAAAGACTCTTTATTGTAGAAGGTCATCCAAAAGTAAAAGCAAAAAATAAAAATAAAAAAGCAGTACAATRTTTTTATTGCAATTTAGTCATTTTCACACTCAAATAAAGGCAATTTTATTTTGAGCAGTCTCTTCTCATACCTGGGTAGCAGTGCCTCACAGAATACCGGACCGCTTTTGATCTCAAGGTTTTGCGTGTTATATTATCTCTGAAGCTTATCCTGAAATAGGTCCCCTTTTTCTAGCGTAATATATTCAGATCTTATTCATATTTATGCATAAGCTATAATGCACCACCACAGTTCTGTACGTYCTCATTGTATAGAGAGAATCATTTAAAACCCCAAGGCGATTTCAGAAAACAAGTTAAACTTTCAGTTCCAAGGTAACTCTGTTAAGAACTGTTGTGTGGTGCCACCAGAGGCAGTCAACTCAAGAAAAAAATAATAAAGAAACATAAAAGAAATCAGGTGAATTACAGGACAAAGTTGAGTAAAACAACAGGTACTGCAAATAAATGYACAAGTATTAAAAGTCAATTTCAACTTTAAGATTTCTGTATGTGAATTATCATAACTTTTCTTTTTTGTTATTTTTGCAAATTGCAGAGACCACACAAMAGAAGATTACATAAGCATGTTTCCTTCAAAGTACTGCACTTACGTGGCCACTTCCAGGGGTGTCACTCGTTTTCACTGAGGGCCACATGAATTTGTGTTTAACTTTGACTAAACATGAGACATCACATTCCTTGTCTCACTGCTATGACTAAGCCCCATTCACAAACAATGACTGAGCTCTACATGGTATTTCCTGCATAGAAACAGTGTTTTAAGATGTCCTCTTATAAATACTGAAGATTACTATGTATACAACAAACTAAATGTAAAATTAATAATGCATAAATACTATTAAAAGTAAAACTAAGAGAGTTTTTCTTACTCATGAGTTATGGTGAGTAGCTGCTGTCTTGAATTATGGACTATCCCACTTTCGAACAGTGAATTCCCACTGGAGGGGCGTTCCAGTTTAAATATAAGCCTTGTAAGTGGGGTATTCCCACTTCCTAGTACAACTGGACTGCAGAAAAAGGAGCTGGCAAAAATGTAGTGAAATGGGAGTTTACACAGTAAAGGTATCCAGCTGCTGACTACTTTTGAACTTTGTACACCTCCATCTACTAGTGGAATGTTGTCATTTTGCAGGTGACCAGTGGACTTTGAGTTTTACACATGTCCCAGACGTACAGGGGTTATACAAGTGGTTAAGTTGGTTGTTATATACTTTACTTTTTTTACTCACTTCACACAGTTTCACATCCTGGGATTGTGCTCTCTATTTTTTAACATCTATCTGGCAGCTTTAGTTACACATTATCGTTACTGTATAGATTTCTCACAATGGATAATTAAACCCTTCAGAAAATGTAGCTCATTCATGAAGATTAAAATAGTGGTTTCCTTTCTCCATTTGATAAGTACAATTCAATTTAGATGTATAAAAGATTTTAACAGCTCCAGGAAATACTTTTCCCCCTGCTTGGACTAGTTCTCACATGGTGCCCATTAAATAAATGTTTTATTTAAATAAATGTTTCAAATAAATAATTTAATATCTCATGGAAATTGAAAATGATGGAAAATTTTCAAACGCTAAGAGCAAATTTTAAATGACGTCTCTGCTTCTCCTTATATGGACTCATGATCTTGCCACAAGAAACTTTTCCTGTAAAGTCGATAGAATGTTTCTAGATGGCATGAGGTCCAGATGCTGCAAAAATAATATATAACTGATTTAAGAATATTTTAGAAAAATGACATTCTGATAGTTCTATACGTAATAAAAAAATACAAGGTGTCAACAAGTATTATTACTTTTATAATTTAGCTATATTTAGCTGATGGGGTCTGACGCAATGCATTTTTATATTGTTCTTGTACGTTACTCTGAACTTTTACTATCCATAACAGATGTAAGAGCCAATCCTGCCAGTGCAGAGGGAAACGTGAGTTCTAAGCAATAAACAACAACATGTGCACACACAGACACAGAACTCTTACATGCTCATGTGCACACAGACTCTCAAAACCACCCATACAACCAGAGGCATGTCTAACATCCTAATGACCTGGGCCATGTGTTTGTGAGGGTGTAAAAGTGTGTTTTGAATTAGGAAGAGGAGAGGCAAACGATGAACTAACGATGGCTGCTAATAATTACAGATCTGTAGTGTGGAGGAGTTAATGAGGAGCCAAAGCCTCCCATGATGCCCCAGTAATAACGAATGAGGAATGAGAGGGGAAGGGGGGTTGGGGGGGAGATGTCATTTTGAGAGGCTGCAATGCCCTTTGGTTTCTCTGCACTTTGGGCATGCCAAAGAGAGAGGAGCCTTCCCAGAGGAGGCTTGTCTCCAGACTAATGAAGATGTGACAGACCTCTGGTCCGTGACATGCAGAGTATAGGAAAGAAGAGAAAGGGACTTGAAGAAAAAGACAGTGACAGCTCATACAAAATGAAAGGCTCTGAAAAGGTGAAAGGGCTTTAAAAAGAACGAGATGGTGTCAATGTCAAAACTTCAAAGACTGATAGGTGATGGTCTTGATGGAGTTTTTAAATTGCTGTTTGTGTCAGTAAAGTTCGCCCTAAATCTTCATACCATAGCCATCTCATCAGTCAATGAGTTTATCCCTAGAACTGAAGGAAACAAACAAACCAACAAAGCAGCAACAAAAAAAGCAGTACTCACCAGAGAGCTGGTATAACTGGGGTCAGATGTGTCTTCTTGTAAATAGCGTGACAGACCAAAGTCGGAAACTTTACACACCAAGTTGCTGTTGACAAGAATGTTCCGTGCAGCTAGGTCTCGGTGAACATAATTCATTTCTGAGAGATATTTCATCCCTGCTGAGATCCCACGTAACATTCCTACCAGTTGGATTACTGTGAACTGACCATCATTTTGCTGAAAGACAGATAAAAAAATGAAAATTGTTGTTTAATGTTGTCTTTGACAGATTTAACATAAATCCTTTGCTAGGCTATTAATAGTAGCAAAAAGGAATTAGTGGCAATGAAATTATTATAAATTTATCCAGCTTTGTCTAAGGAGACAACAGTATAACATGCGTTACAGGGCTGGGGGATAAAGCAGGAACAATATATATCATGATAGACACATGATCAATATTTAAAAAAAGGTCTGATGAGAGGACATCCTCTGAACAGGAAGTTGATTTGGAAATTAAGTGATAATTTTTTCCCTCTACTAACAGTTTGTTGGTTATACTCTACATGGCAAAAATAACATTTTGAAGTTGTCTTTCCGTCACATGTAATCCTCCTAATGTCCAGAGGATAAATCTGCTTGTGTGAGATAGAAAAATTAATTCATGAAGTTCATCTTCTTCACTGTAGGTGTTTGAGCATTGTGGCATTCTGGCATGAATTCCTCCATCTTTCTAACATCCTCTTGTGGTACCCCTAGTTCTGTGTAAATGCTCTCAAGAGCAAGCTTTGAACCCTTGAAACAAAGTAACAAATAAGAGGGTAAGAGAGATCGATGGAAACACAAGTCGGATGTGGCGGTTAGCAAAGCCAACTTCAAAGAGCCCATTTAAACCCACCATAGATCAAAGTGGAATAGAGCGCCAATCCATGAGATTGAGGAAGAAAAAAAGCGAGCTGAATATTGATTAGGCTGAATGTCTCCTCAATCCTGACTATAAAAGAAAGAGTGAAGAGTCTATTATTAGATCTAAGTGCTATTACAGAAATTAAAAGCTGATAAATTTGGCTAATGTAGATATTTCCAATTTAAGAGTGATTGAAAGAATGTTCATTGTCACTGAATATATTCTCAGGTTAACAAAAGCTCATTTCATTTGGTATGAGAATACTTTTAATACCAACTTATTTTTAAGGGGTAATATTATGTGCTTTCCAAGCCTATATTTCAATTTTATACTAAAATAAAGTAACTATGTCACATTTTCAGCTTATGAAAGAGCTATATATTTGTTTAAAAAAAAAACCAAAACAATTTAATTCTCATCTTGACAGTTTCTAAACACCTTGAAATAGGTCTCTGTCTCTTTAAGAATGTCCAACCACTTCGGTCACGCCCATTTCTGCACGTAGCCTGCCGAAGTCGGGGGTGGGGACTCTGCCATGAGGAAGCTCGGCTTAAAGACACATCCCAGAGGAGGAGCATGTCCCAAAAGGGCACAAACATTTTCTCAAACATGCATGCATGAGTCAAAGCAAGGCTTTGGGCATGTTTTTTTTTATGAGAGTATAACATTATAACATGATATAAAACTCAAAAAGTTGATTTTACATGATATTTCCCCTTTAAGCGTTTAAAAACTGACTTCAACATTACACAATAGTTTCATCCAATTACCATATCCAACTGTCTGTAGGTTGTTTAAAAAAAGTCACTCACCCGGAGGAATGAGTCGAGGGCACCATTCTCCATGAATTCTGTGACAATCATGACAGGTCGGCTCTTTGTGACTACACCCTCCAAACGGATAATGTTTGGATGGTCAAACTGGCCCATGATTGATGCTTCGGACAGAAAGTCTCGCCTCTGCTTCTCCACATAGCCAGCCTTCAAGGTCTTGATGGCCACATAGATCTCCCTCTTGCCGGGGAGCTTCAAACGGCCCTTGTACACTTCTCCAAACTCGCCTGGTTTAAAACAAAGAAGTACAGTGGTTTTTAAAACCAAAAAATCATCAGTACCAAACCTGCAACAACGATTTCATTCATTATGATCAGATGAGTTCTTTTTTTGTGTGTGTGTTCATCAGATATTTCTAGTCCTTTGTGAAACAGAAAGTCATGTAGTGTATTTTAAGGCCTCTCTGATTCATAGTAGTCACCCATCCCACCAGCCGAGCATTATTTGGTAATCTTCTGGCACTCATTTGATTAATTATCACAGCCCTGCTGACCTGCGGAGAAACCATACAGCGAACCCAACAAAAATGGAAATCCATAATTAGTTAGTCTCCTTGCATCCTTATCTCCATCCTATCTTACTCACTTTCTCACGCCTAGCTTGCTGTGCAGGCCAGGGTTCAGGAGCTATTACTGGGCCAGTAACACAACCACTATGTTTGCATCTGTATGAACAAACAGCATGCCCACTTGACTGTAAAAAAAAAAATCACTTGGGGAAAAAAGGGGCATGTTATAGAAGAATAGACGTGACAAACTCTTAGTAACAAGTTGCTTTGAAGCTCTTTACTTAAATTAGCATTATAAAAATACATTTTAATAATCAATATTAGGTTACAAAGGAAAATGTTTTGCATGTATAGCTAAAGCAAATGTTTAAAGCAAGCCAAATATTTTTAGAGCAAAACCAACTCAGGGAGATCTAAAATCATAAAAGCACATGAAATGGGCTGAAATACTTGAACTATATACGTATAATGCTGTTAGGTCCCAGGGTAGCTGCCCCATATACTTCTGGTGCACTTGACATAGGCTTGACTTGACATGTTACCCATCTGATGTAGCCGCTTAGAGGGTTGGCTTTATGACCCTATACAGATACAGGCTGAACTTTATTGTCTACAGATGTGCCCTGCACATACAACACACAGAAATGCCTAAAACACAGGAATACCGAATAACCCTAAAGCATGACACAAAATAAAAACACTGAAGTGCACATAAAAGATGATAATTTGTAAAGACATCTTCCGGCCGTACCTGCACCAATGACCTCCTCTATCTTGACAGTGGAGACGTCAATCTCTTTGGCAAATTCTCGAACAGCTTCATTGGGGTCCTCGTAGGTGAAGGGGTCAATGTAGATCTTCATTCCCGGGGAGCCTGAGAAGTGGGTCGGGCAGCCCAGTGGGGAGGGGCAGTTAGACATGTCGGCTCGCAAAGAGAGTTCTAGAACAACCAAAGGGCTCAGTGAGCTTTGCAGAAGACAGAACTGTTGTTTTTGATTTGGGTAATGTCTTCTGAATGTTGATCATCACAGTATATCAGTGGTACTTAACATTACTACAAGATCTTAATGGCAGGAAATGATACAGACTCTATTTGCTCTTTATGGCCCTCATCAGAAAAAAGACAAGTCGAGTAAGTAAAAAAAAAGGTTTTAGATGCATAAAATAGTCTAGATGGATGATTACAAGAACAGTTTCAGTTAGAAGAAGAAAGACAAAATGGTAGTTTGATGATTCTTGTCTTGAAACCAGAAACATAACGTGCAAAAGATTAAGAGGAGAAACGGAGAGATGAGGATAGAGAAAGCATAAATACAGACAGCTTTTTCACTTTTTCATCCCTCACCCTCGCAGTATCTGCTCTTTGATCGTGGTAGAACCAATTTTCCTGCAGCGTTTCGCTATAGGAGCTCATAAAGAGATAAACCCACTATGCAATCAACCGTCTCTTTATGCAACTCTGCAACAGGCAAGCAGAGTCCACAGGCTGAAGATTTCTCCAGACCTGTTTTCTGTGCTCACAGACTGGGTAAGGGGAAAAACACTTGTAAACAAATTCAATATGCTGCCAAATAATGTACAGCAAGCAACCAGACATCAAGCCGTCTTTTCTAAGTGACATCGAAGGGCAGCCTTCTTTCTCAGAGTTGTTTATTTCAAGCCTTGACAGCTTTGATTTGAATAAATCCAGCTCCATCAAGAACATTTTATGCCTAGTCATTTGCACAGGCTTCAAAGAAGAATAAAGGAGTCTCATGAGACAGAATTAGTATAAATTCTAGTCTTGGGATCAACGTGCCACACCTTGTACTTGACCAGGCATTGATTGTGGTTACCACAATAATTACCTCAAACACTACCTAGTTGAGTGTAATTGATCATTAGATATTCTCCACACTGAATTCAAGTTAAATTATAGAAGGTTTTTGCAGTGCATATATTCTTTCCATTTGCAAATGTTGTAGGGCATGATATAAAATCTCAATAAGAACCAGCTACAAGCATAAAGAACTGCATATTTGAAAAATCTCAAGCTAAACCACAAATGTCCAAATAAGCATACACCCATTAGAGTCTAATTCATAGACCAAAACCTACTTTCATCTATAATTTACAGTTCAAACACTATTTTTCCTTCTTTCTCACTGATACAGCACCGGGTAACTCATTTTTTATGGTCACTAGATAAAAAAAGAAGACTCTTGCTTCAATATTTTATTGGCCCTTCATCTGAGTGTATAAAGTAAATGTATTCAAACATTGTTTCTATTAATAACAGTATATAAAACAACCACTCTAATGGGAGATGATTCACTGTAGCATGGCTGCTACAGTGAATCGTGGACATAAAGATGCTAATGCATTGTTTCATTCTTAAATAGGTGTACAGACATTGCACCTATCTGGAATAGTCATTAGTGTTTTGGGATTGAAAACATTTCTGTATAACTTGTTTATGAAACAGCTGCTCAAACAGTGGGTAAAAAAGGCTATTATATTGTAGGATGAATAACATCTTGTGATAGTTTCATGTCTTTTTTGTGAAACCATACATTGTAGCAGTCCTGCACAATGTATTTTAAGATCTACCACCAACCTTTTCCACACAGAGGCTGCATCAAATCAGAGCAAAAAAGGGAAGTCATCCTTGCTAAGCTGCCTCTGTTCCCCTTTGGCAACTCAAGCAGACCAAACCGACGTGGCTTATCAACGTACGCCTACAGATAGCAAGTCTGAGTGACAAAAGCATTGTTCATGAAAGTGATGTTCTACACTGCATCAGCTCTCATCAAATGCATTCATTTTGTTTGGCTCTGCTGCTGGTTCTGACATGACCCTGAATCTACTCGTTCTTATAGAGAATTGCCAGGAACTTAAGACAACAAATCCACCACTCCAGTCTTGAACCCAGACGATTGATAGAAACTGCTTCCAACATCCCAGTAACTGAAACTTCCTGACACTGTTGTGGTGACATGCAAGGAGTCTTATAGACTATAGGTCAGATGAATTTGTTGCTGTGACGGATTATTGCGAGTAAAATTTTACTGCACATCATTTAATCAAAGCCTATTCACGAGTGTCTGTCAATGACCTTGCTATTTGTCTGCTATTCTTGTTTACCGAGTGGCCCTAATGTGTCCACAAATCAACCACGCAGGAGAAATGCTCTCACTGATCTAATACAGCCACAAGCAAAATCAAATTAGTGGTTGTACTTAACAGAATTTATTTATGGTCTAAAGACAAACGAGAATGTCAGTAAATGAAATGGTGGCTTCATAAAAGCTAATCTTTTTAGGTTAAAGGACCTTTCCATGCATTAGCTTTTCAGCAAGGGAACATAATGCCTGTTAATTTTTCCCTAACAAAGAATGTAATATGGGAATGTGTGTGTATATATATATA